TTTTGGCATCAACTTGAGTCTTGATGACATGTAGAGTTATATTTTTTTTACTGTATTCTTATGATCTAGATATTAAGATCACCTTTTTCATTTATAATCCATCTATTTAGAGTCAAACTTCACAAAACATCTATCAAGGAATCATAAAATAAAATAAAATAAATAAATAAAAAAAGAAGCACCCTGCTAGAATGGAAGCTTGCAAGGAAGCTTCTCAAATCATACTCATTCTTCTATATTAGGAAAAATGACAAAGAAATTCAGAACAAATTAAACAGCAGATTAAATTAAATAGGAGATATAATTCAAAGTTCAAAAACAATTGACTTCATTATTTACAAATTTCAACAATAGGATTCAAAAACGAAAAAAAAGATGCTTACAAATAAGAAGATGTTTCCTTATGTTTTCCTTACAGGAGACATACTTCAAAAAACACAAATTTCACTTCCATGGAACAAGCTTCAATAGTAGGACACGTCATCTTCATAACAGCACACATCACCTTCAAGAAAGTATCAACACACTTCACATCTGTAATGGTAAAATTTAAGTTGAAAAATATTAACAATAATAGCAACAAATATATTACATATAAAAGAAAAAACATACCATCAGTTTCAGAAAGATCAAGAGTGCCCAAGAGAATTCCAGATTCGATCAGCAATAGTATTACGCAACTGATTCATTTCTCGAGGAGGATCGTCACCATCAAATAAATCATCAGGCTTATATTGATTTCTAATGAAGTTGTGTCAAAAACACATCGGCTGACGGGATTGAAGCCCAGGTCTCCATGGCAATAACTTATTTATTAAAAAAATCAAATAACAGCATATCCCTCAAAATGTCTATTATCTACCTAGCATGAACTCATGGTTCCTCAACCTCAACAATGAGCTTGCAAGAGAGAGTACCAAATTTTACAAGTTCCATGCAAAAATTTAGATTACTAAATAGTTTATCATTGGGATATGAACATGTAAAAGCAAAATTATAGAAGATTTGTTTAAATCATGAAAATTAGATGAGGGAGACATAAAATTTAACATTGGTATAATAGATGCACAATATGCCAAAGTCAAAACAAGTGACCTCAGTAAATAAATTTAGTAGAAATTATATAACAAAACAACCATTTTTAAATTAATATTATTGCTATAAGTTTCTCCAAACAATGAATCATGCCAAGTGATTGAAGCCAAGGTCTCCATGACATCAACTTATTTATTAAAAAAATTATCTTATAATTCTAGATAAAGCTAAAATTTCTAAAACCCATACGACAAGTAGAGTCTTATGGCACAATACATTGTAGGACAATAAAGCATCATAAGTATATTTGTGCTAAAAAAATGAAGCCAAAAGGAAAAAACAAAAAGAAAATATTAAAATCAAACAACAGCATATCCCTCAAAATGCCTATTGTCTACCTAGCATGAACTCATGGTTCCTCAACCTCAGCAATGAGCTTGCAAGAGAGAGCACCAAATTTTACAAGTTCCATGCAAAAATTCAGATTTCTAAATAGTTCATCATTGGGATATGAACATGTAAAAGCAAAATTATAGAAGATTTGTTTAAATCATGAAAATCAGATAAGGGAGACATAAAATTTATCATTGGTATAATATATAAAAATTAGGAATCTAGAGTGAATCAAAATTTTGACTCTTACAGGTTGATTCAAAATATATAAAAATTCAAATAAGCAATGCGAAAGATTCCAACATTTCTTCTCTTTTCCTTAATCTTGGAAACAGAAAGGGAAAAGAAAAAAGAAAAAAAAGAAGAAGAAGAAACATAAGTAATATAATAATAGTTGACTCTATGAGATAATCATAATGATATAATAATAGAGAGGACAGGAATAGTAAATCAAAGTGAGCATTTTTTTTAATTTTATTTTTCATATTCTTTGTTCTTGATATTCTTCATTCTTTTAACAGGATCAATAATGTTCTATAGTTTCATACATATTCTGAGCTAATGTTGTTTGGGTTCTCTCTTGTTGCAAATCTTGTAAGAGTTTGATGAAAGGGTTTCAAGTTATGATAAATTTATTGAGTTAATTTATACTTTGATACATATTGGATAAATCTGACTATACTCTATGATTTTTTGTGTATTACATAGCACACAATTGGTAAGTACATTAGAAGTGAAGTGAGACTGGAAATAGTACTCCTCAATACTCAACTGAAAATTGAAACCTCACATTCATTGATTGATCAACACAGTCTTCTATTTAACTACATAGTATTTCATAGTATTGCTGTCTAGATCAAAAGGGAAAGGAAGAGGGAAAAGGCTGCTACAACATATTGGAATGAAAGTTAAATGGCAGATCCTCAAAAGTTTTTTGATAAACATGGGGACATTAACAACTTGAAAATTTCTTTTAGATGGGGACATTAATGGGAGGGTTTTCCAAAGTAATGACTCCGGGCACCTTGTTTTGCTTTTTTAGTATAAGCAGTTAATAATCTTATATATATATACACACACACACATTATTTCTCTATAAAACTATCCATTGCTCTATTATGAAAGAAAACATTGAGTTTTCATTGGTTTTCATTACTTCGTCATGTTTGTAACAAGTCAAGCTTGATCTGATTATTTCAATCTTTTGTATATGGTAAGAAAATCCAGAAAATCAATATATAAGATGTAATTTTCAACATAAGAATGGATAAGAGAGACACAGTAGAGCAAAACCCAAGTTGAGTCAATAATTGTGTATATAATATCATCCCATTAGCATGTGAGTGCAATGAATATGGTCCAGTTCATCAAGCAACTACATTAATACTACAATGTATTCCCCCCCCCCCCCCCCCCCCCACACACACACACACACAAATTTCAATCTTCTTGTTGTCTATTTATTTATGTCTTAAAAAATCTTAATCCATATATATTACTATTTCTACACATACGTGATCATATATATATATATATATATATATTATGTATGTATATATTACATGCTCGCACTTGATATCATACTTATATTGTAAGATGGAGTCTACACTTAAATATTAGGTAGAATAAAATATATATGAATCGCAACAAACTCTCTGTTCCTAGCTATTAGCTTAGGCATGCAGTAATGGAGAGTCACCATTCCCGTCACCACTTGCCATTCATACTTGTTTGATAATCAGTTTGATCACTCACATAACAATAACAATCAACCCAAAGACGTGGACAAATGAAGATGATGATGTTAAGTCATTATCATAAATAAATAAAAAAAAAAAAACAAACAAACTTAAGATTGTATTTGTAAATTAAATACTAAAATGAAGCCTCATCAATGTCTCCTTGGTTTCTGACAATATTATTTATTTCTATAAATTTGCTGAGCTCGATCTCCCCATCTGATCCTCCTCCAATTCAAACGCATAATATAAAATATTGTTTAATTTATACATTTCAAAATAATTTAAAGTTAGCATCCAATTTGAAAGTGTCTCTTAATTGTACAGAACAGCCAGGGGTAGCTCCTTGGATTAAACTTTAGAGCTTCATACATATATATATATATATATATATATATATATATATATATATATATATATAACTGTACGTACTTTAGAAAGCTAGCTCAGTAAGGGTCAATGTTATATCAAAATTCTCAAGAGACATTTATCATGACAAACTACCTTCATTCAGAAAGATAAAAAAAAAAATTCTAAATTATGCCATGTAGTGGTCACCTCAATCATCAATTATTAACTCGTTAACTGTGGCTATGGTGGAAATTTCAAAGAAATTGTACTCTTTATTTTTCCAATTACATTTTATGAAGAAAAAAAAAAGGTCATGATGGAATGTTTCTTACTTGTACTTTTCTTTTTCTAATTCAACTTTTATATACACACCCAGAAACACAGAAAAAGAAAACTACAAGTATAGGTGCGTTTTGGTCCTTGGAAAGATGTATTTCTTAAAAATCTGATATAGGAGTAGAAGAGTTTAAACAAGTTAAAAATTTTAACTGTTCTAAATCACCAAATTTTCATAAAATAATTTCTGAAATGGAATACCTCAAGAACACAAATAAATCCAGAAAAGCATTAAGGGCGTCACAATCAAATCGACTGAAATATGGGGGGATTCACGCAGCAAGAAGAAAGAGGTTTTTCGGAAGTAAAGCAACATCAAAGGAAACTTTAAACAGGAGAGAAATAGAAGAGAGAGAATACTCACAGTATATCGCAGTCGCCTCCCAAATCGCCTCCCAAATCGCCTTCTCTAGGGTTTCAGAGGAGAGAGAAGATCGGGCGAAATGTTGCAAACGACGTTTTGAAGTTACTTCCTCCGCTACAGTGCAAGACCGAACTTACTTCAAGCGCTACAGTTGTTTTTATTGGGTTACAGTTTAGAAACAACAAAAAACACCAATTCGGTGTTTCACTTTTGGGCCCAAATTGTGCACTGTTAAAAACAATGTTTTTGTACTGTTTAAAACAAAACAAATGCTACCAAACATGTTTTTGGGCCTGAAATAGAGCCTGCAACAAAAACAGCAAAGTAAAACACTAAACAAACAGGCCCTTACTTCTCCAATAAACAGCCAAATGAGGGTCATTCATGTTTTAGCCCAAGTTTGATACATATTTACATACAAATGAGAATTCATTTTGTCGTCTGTTTTTCCACAAGGAAATAGAATTAAGTTGCGCGCTTCTGTACAATTATGTTTTACCGTCTAATCACATCTCTATCTCTTCTATGATGCCACTTCTTGTAATGTAATGTGGCTTACATGCGAACATGACAAGGAGATGAATATATTTGGCTATTTTCCTTGGTAACTCCTAAAAATTAATATCAACCAATTAAAAACAATTCCAGAAACAAAGGATCCCCTGACTTGTACCAATAAATCCCATCATCTCACTATCTCTTATTATTCAAAGAAAATTCTCTCCTCAACCATCTCTCATCTTAATTGCTCCCTATTTATCTTCCGAACTCTTGCACAAATAATGGGTGTCACCACTTTCACTGATGAATATACCAACACCATTGCTCCAGCAAGGTTATTCAAGGCATCGATCCTCGACTCTCACAACTTGATCCCGAAACTCATACCACAGGCTATTAAAAGCATTGAGATCCAAGGAAATGGAGGGGCTGGCAGCATCAAACAGATCAACTTTACTGAAGGTTAATTTTCTTACTATTACACACACATATAATGATCAAACTGAAATTTGGCTAATGTTTTACATGTGCGTTTCATTCCAGGAAGCACTTTGAATTGTTTGAAGTACCGAATTGATGAGCTCAACGAAGAGACGTTCACTTACAACTATACTCTGATTCAAGGTGATGCATCAATGGACAAGCAGATTGAATCAATTTCTTATGAGGTTAAGTTGGAGCCATCTCCTAATGGTGGAACTGTTTCTAGGATGACAAGCAAATATTACACTAAGGGCGATGTTGAGCTCTCGGAAGAGTCCATTAAGGCTGGCAAGGAAAAGGCCACGGGAATGTACAAGGTTGTGGAAGCCTACCTCCAGCAAAACCCTGATGCCTATGCATGATGTTCTTGTTTTGTAAACCAATGTTTTTTGGTCCTCAAGTCTATGGTGTGCTGTTGCAACTTCTGTTTGCTTTTTGTACGAGAAGAAATACACCCCTGCTTATAATCATGGGTGAATAATGATTTTTCTTCCTCATGAGAAATCCTAGTCTCCCTTAGTTATGAGAGAAAAAATAAAAATAAAAATAAAAAATTGAGGTTTGGATTTTGAATTTGATTGTCATGTGATGTGATATGAATTAGCCCCCTTCTCAACAAGTCATGCTCAACCTAGTTCTAAAAATTGCCAGTCTGGTGAGGCACTGGGCTACTCATTAGTTACTAGCTAGATTTAATGTAATGGCTCTAGCCACTACACTAGCAATGCCTCTTTATAATTGGGATGTAGTGTGATAGTTTAAGTGGTAGAGCATGTGCTGCTTGTAACCAAAGGCTCGAGTTCAAATCCCCACTCTGTCAGTAAGTTGTTTTAACTTTCTTTTTTTTTCACCAAAAAAAAAAAAAAAAAAAAAAAAATGCCTCTATATAATTCCTTGGAATCTTCCTTTCAGTTCGGGCCAAATCTAAAAGTCTAATCTACTACACGGCTCTGCAAATATGTGTTGCAAAATATAAATTCATCTCTTATGAACTAAGGGGTTAATTAGTAATTACGCCCCTAACTAGAAATTCTGGTGTGCAAGTGGTCACTTATCCCTCTGGATAGAAGAATCCTTCATTTAGAAACAAGTATTGGCCTGGGAAATGAGTTTCGTGGACTGCCTAGCTTGGGTCAAACTATGTGAGAAATAAGTTTTCGTATTACCAAATTTTGGCGTCAAAACTTGTCAAATTGAGTTGTAATTCTGCTTAAATATAATTAAGAGGGACCAGGCCCTTTTTTCGTGTCCTGGATCCTTTCTTGTCCCTCGTCCTGTCCAGTGTCATCCTGTGCACTATTAAATTAGCAGTGCATTCCGTCCGGTGTCCTGCTGTGCACCATATATGCAGCCTAGAATTCAATATCATTAAATTTAGAATTCAATATATATTCATAGCTGCTTTAGTCGCACTGGACCTAAATTTGAACATGTGAGAATCTTAATCCTTATTGTCATGTCTGTAAAAGTATTTTTTTTAAAAAAAAAAAAAAAAAAAAAAAATATATATATATATATATATATATATATATATATATATATATAGAAAAAGAAAAAAAAAATAAAGGAGTAGGGAATGATCTATTATGTGTTCAAGGCTTTTTGTTCTTCTTGACATATGTTATTACGATGGTGTTTGATAAAATTGAAAATTAAGTACTGAAAATTGTAAGTACTGAATTTTAAGTGCTGAATGTATTAATTTGAAAACCTGTTTGATATTGCCTTATTGTTAAGCGCTGAATTCATTAAGATTGTTTGTTAAATGTAAGAGTTGAAATCTGAATGTTGTACATATTACATTTTTGCCCTCAATTATCTTCTACACATAGGTGCTGTTTGACAAAATTGAAAATTAAGCACTGAAAATTTCAAGTACTGAATTTTAAGTGCTGAAACTTTAAGTGCTGAATGTATTAATTTGAAAACCTGTTTGATAACATTTTAATTTTAAGTGTTGAATGCATTAAGATTGTTTGTTATATACAAAAGTTGAAGTCTGAAAGTTGTACATATTACATTTTTGCCCTCAATATCTAATACTCATAACATTTTTATATTTATAATACAAAAATATAGATAAAACAACCACATTCGCTCAATGAAATAAATATATATGAAAATTTAAAATATATAGATTTTGCATTACATAATATTTATGTATGGTATCGAAAAGGGTGTTACAAAGATTAAAGAAAGTAAAATTTAAAATATATGAGTTTTGGATTGAATAATATTTAGGTAGGATATTGAAAAGGGTGTTACAAAGATTAAAGAAAATACTTGAAAAAGAATTCTTATTTAGGAATAAAATTCTATTATATAAATAATTGATGGAAATTTTAAATCTATGGGTTTTGGATTACATAATATTTATGTAGGTATAGTGTTACAGAAATTAAAGAAAGTAAAATTTAAAATATATGTGTTTTGAATTACATAATATTTATGTAGGGTATTAAAAAATGTGTTACAAAAATTAAGGAAAGTGAAAAATGTAATATTTGTAATTTATTTACATATGTATATATTTGTGGTGGCAAAAAAAAAAAAAAAAATTTAAAAGTAACTGATTTTTCATTAGTGGTTGGACTCACCACTAACATTAATTTGTTGCCAAGAGACCAATTTGGTCTCATTTCTTCTCTCTCCTCGTAAACTTTTTCTTCTCCTCACTTTTCTTCTCTTTTTCTTTTTCTTTTTCTTTTGATCTCAAACTTCGCTCTTCAATTACTTTTTCAATTGTTGGATTTTTTGGGTACCGTTTGCGGCAAATCGGAGAGCTCGGCGAGATCTTCAAGTGGGTGCAAGCAATTTCAGTTTTGGTACATCCTAGGAATTCCGAAAATTTGGACCCATTTGAGGGTTTTCTATAAAATTGAGGTAGGGGTGTTCTAATCCATGACTTCTTGGATTTTTATGAATTTTCCTCCTTAATTTGACCATAAGCATGCTTAATTTTAATTATCTTGTCCATAGCTATTGTGATTGTATGTGCTCAAAATGACAAATGTGTTTTACATGCTAATTGGGTTATATACATGGCTATTTACATTATTGTGAAGAAGCATGCTTAATTTTGGTATATTGTGTGACTTGCGAATTCTCAATTGCTATGGAAATTGATGTTGTGGTTGTGAAATAATTGTTTAGAATTTCCTATAAAAAAAAAAAATAATAATAATAATAAAATGATGAAAATGTAAAAGAGCATGTAGAATTTTATTGTTGAATTGTGCTTAGTAGCATAAAGCATTCATGCATCCATTGGGAATAAAAGAGAAAGAGAGAAGTGTTTTAGAAAACAAAGGAAATTATTTTTTGGGAATTTTTTTTTTAAAATGTGTTTGCGAAAACAAGACGCCTAGGAGGCGCCTAGTGGTCTGTGGTGTTAGTGTAGTCTAGAAGGGAGTGTGGTTGAGTTAACTAGGCCAGATATCATGCCTTGGAGGTGCCTTGTGGTCGTGGATAGTTAGCCTTCGTGATGCCTTGGAGGTGCCTTGGGTCGGATTACATTAATGGTTTGAAAGTTGAAACGGAGATGTTTCGGATAAGGGGAGCGACATGGGCATGGCATTGCACTTCATTGTTATATATGGTATACTTGTGACTTTGATGACAATTGTGGTTATATTTGACGTTGTGGTTATGGATTGTATCTCTAGTATAGTATGATCTCGTTCTCTTGATTTCTATTCTATACGTAGATTCACGGGGTCATAAGAGGTGTGTCTTAGACACTTCTTACTGAACTTATGCTCACCCCATTATTTTAACATTTTTCAGGTTTGGGAAAGGAAGTGGCGGACGGCGTTCCTCTAAAGGTTTTGATGGGTTAGTGGACTGTTTGACCTATTTTGTAGCTATGATCTCATATTATTATTTATAAAGGAAAACTATATATAGGTAGACTTAGGAGCCTTAAATAATAAAATAGTCTAATTTTAAAGTTGTTTTTTCAATTCGATTGAACTAAACAAAATAATTACAAATACATCAACAATAATTATTAAGGTTCAAAACACCCTCTAAACTATTATTCTAAAATACCAAAATATCCTTAGAGTTATATAATTTCAAAATACCAAATATCAATTAAGAAACTATGGAATCTTGACGGTGGATCCTGTGTTTGGAAGGAGCGTGACTGAAGAAAATCAGATCCATTACAACAAGCATGACAAACTATTAAAGAGTATTTTATAAATCCAAATTTATTTTACACAGTATTTTCTCCCTATGTATATGTACTATTTACATGTTTATACATATAATTTTTAATCTCCTTTTATTGGTAGAATAATATTTTCTTGTTCTAAAGCAAGAAAGGCACTTTGTTTATAAATATGACAATTTAAGATGTATATATTTGTTGTGCGTATGGAGGAATTGTAGAAGGCTTGGTTTTATACAAATAAATTGTTTGATTAAATGCCCAATTGAAGAAACAAAACACTCTTCAAGACACAGAACACTATTTTCTTATCAAATTTAGATTCCTTGATACTAGCATTGCCATGTCATCTGAGCCGATTTTAGTCCAACTCAAACATGGCATTGCCATGGCATTTCCTCTATTTCTGCATTAAAAAAAAAAAAAAACCTCTCTTTCTTCAATTACATATGGTCTGTTTTTTTTTTGTTTTTATTTTTGTTTTTATTTTTTTATTTTTTTTATTTTTTATGTGTGACGATACTGGGTATAGATCAATTGACCCAAGACCAAAATTTTTAGTATATTCTATAATTTTTTTAGTAAGCAAATCATTGTAGATAAAAAAATGAAGCTTAAGCCACTCTACAAGAGATCTGAGGAAGACGACAAAGACAAGGGTCTGTATAATAATCTTTTAGGCATGGCGGTTATGGCGATCGCTCCCTCATCAATGTGATTGTTCAGAAAGTTATCAAAACCAGAAGCAACAATAATAACAACAATCAAGTAAAGAAAGAGACCTAGAATGAGAGGGGAGAGAGAGAGACGATGAAGATAGAGAGGGACATAAGAAGAAGAAGAGAGAGAGACGATGAAGATAGAAAGGGACACAAGAAGAAGAAGATAGAGGGAATGGAAAGCAATTTAATTAAACAAAGAGTGAAACGTCGTTTTGGAAAGAAAAAACAAAATGGTAAGAGCAATGATGTGTCCATGCCAAGTAAGAATCGGACCAAAATCGGTTCCAAAATATTGGACCAAGTATCGTTATTATTATATAATTATAAGGATATTTTAATATTTTCGAATAAGAGTTTGAAGGGTATTTTGGACCTTAACAATAATTGTTGATGTATTTGTAATTATTTTGTTTAATTTAATCAAATTGAAAAGTAAAGTTTAAAATTAGACTATTTTGTTATTTAAGGCCACTAAATTTACCGATACGTAGTTTTCCCTATTTATAAACCTTGGGATGACACGTATATTATGTATTGTCATAGGAAAGAATGGTAACGTCTTTTGTTGACCTCGGGTTCGGGTAAGGACCCGATTAGCGATTCGAACTCTCTGGTTCGGGTCGTTACAAAAATGGTATCAGAGCAATGGTTCGAAAACCAGTAGGACGACGGATAAAGGCCTACTGAGGATGCAGCAAGTGGCATGGGCCGGATATAGTTCGCTGAAACGGGATCGGATCGAATGATTGAAGTAGGATCCATGCCAAAGCGCCCTGGAATGGGTTGAACCTAGGGGATCTACCGAGGAAGGTCAAGCCCATTGGAAGATCAAGCCCAGAAGGAAGAGAGCTTTTGAATATAGGCCCAATCTAATAAGTAAACAGCAATAAGGGTGATGGCATGGATCAGTAGACCATTACAGGTGGAAAGTGAGAAAGAAGAATTCTAGAGAGAGAGAGAGATAGGAAAAGAGAGAAGAAATGAAATCTTGCATCGTCAATTGGCGCTGTCTGTGGGAAACGAAGACGAAGATCAATTCGAGCCCGATCAGTACCATGTTAGTTCAATCGAGTTTGTGAGTACGCAGTGTGGTTTCTGGAAGTTGAATCCAGATCAGTGAGATTGTAGTTTGTTCAGAGAGAATTCTTGCTTATTGTGGATTCTGAGACATTTGCTTTGGAATGACGCGATTGTGATTTGCTCAATTGCAGTCAGATCCGATGAGTTTGAAGCTAGAAAAGTTCAGATCTAGCAAATAGTGATCACGATTCGGTGAAGTTAAGCCCAGATCTAACGGAGTTTGCATCGGAAATGCTTCGATCTGTTTTGGAGTTCGTAATTCATGCCTTTGCTTCGATCCGGAATCATGATAAGGGGTGACAACTCTTATACGGTTGAGAACGTCCAGCAAGTGAAACTTGATGAGTTAATGAACATGATCGAAGCTCTCCGGAGAGAAAATGCAGATCTAAGGACTGAAATGCAGCGTCAAGAAGCTTCAGTAATTCCACGACCACTCCCCGTAGGAGAAGAAGGTGCACGTACCGATGTAGCACATCACGGTGAGGAGGTTGGAAACAATCTAGTAGATCCTCACCGCGAGGAAATCCGGCGAGACAGTTTGCCGCCAAATCTTCGTCGTATTGATGATCGTGAAAGATCGACTCACATAGATCCACGGCGTGAGCAGATCAGGCGAAACGAAGCAATGACTTTTGATCCACATCAAGAAACGCTCAGCTGAGGTGAAGCAACAGAGTTGATTCGTCAGAAAGCTATGCCTCCATGGCGCAAAGACTTTGTTGAGGACAGATCATTCGATCGGACCTATCGGCCTTCCATGACGACGTTCGACTATCATAACTCAGAGAGGAGATCAGTAGACCAGAGAGCAGCCGCGGGGTTCCAGAGGGAAAATGAAGCACTCTGTTCAGCAGCTCGAACGGTTGATTCACCGTTCACCGATGAGATTCTGAATACTCTGAGTCCGAGGAAATTTTCGATGCCTGTTTTCATTCTGTTCGACGGAACGATTGATCCGATCGATCATGTGTATCACATCCAGCTGAAAATGGCTCTAAACACTGAGAATGACTCTTTGATGTGCAAGTGCTTTCCTACGAGTCTGGCCAGACCAACTCTGAATTGGTTCAAGAACCTGCGGAGGGGTTCAGTGGATAGTTTCCGAAGCTTGTGTGATCGGTTCATAAGCCAATACTATGGAAACAAGCGTCCAGGGAAAGATATTTCGAGCCTATTCACAATGAAGCAACACGCTGAAGAGCGTCTCCAAGCTTTCCTAACCAGGTTTAACCTTACCAAGAGCATGGTTATTGAATGTCACCCTTCAATGGCAGTTCAAGCATTCATACTGGCCATGAACCGTGGCACCCCGTTCCACACAAGCTTGGTGGTCAACACGCCGAGGACTATGGATGAACTTAACGAAAGAGCCGATGGATTTGTGCGCTTGGAAGAAGAAGAGGCGGCGAACGCTCGGAAGACATCCGTTATATCCACGGAAGAAAAGACCAAAGCAAAGATCAGGCAAAAACAGGTTCAGCCGCAACGCTCCTCGTGGAAATCTGAGAAGAGGCCCAGAGAGGAAGAGCTGGTTACTCTATTGAAAGTTACCCTAGCGAGACTGTACCAAGAAAATAAAGATAAGTTCCGACCTCCTTTACCAGTCAGACAACCTCTCGAACAGAGGGATCAGTCTAAGCACTGTGCATTTCATTCTGATTTTGGCCACCAGACTAACGAATGCAGGAACCTAAGGAGACAGGTAGAGATGCTGATAGCCAGAGGGGAGTTTGCAAGTTATATTCAAGGGCCAGCGGTGGAGCAGAACTGACCAATGGAGTACGTGAAGAAGAATCAGAAGTCGAATTCTCACAACACGCAACCAGTTCGAGTAATTAATGCAATTCATGGTCGGCTAGAACCTGCCAAGGAATCAGATGAACTGCTTCGAACACGCCTTCGCCAGGCACGGATGAATAGAAGGATAGGCAGTGTAAACACTCTGTACCAACAGAGCGCATCAACGCAGATAAAGTTTGACGCAACAGACTTGTTGCGTGTTCAGATCCCTCATGAGGACCCGCTGGTCGTAAGTTTGACAGTGGCCAAATGCTTGGTGTGCAGAGTTCTAATTAACCCTGGAAGTAGTGTGAACATCATGCCAAGAGATACATTCGATCGGCTCGAGATTAAACAGGATCGGCTGAAATCCACCGGGAATCCACTATCAGGGTTTGATGGAAAGCGAGTGGAGCCCGTCGGCACAGTGGAGGTAGCGGTACATGCTGCCGAGAGGGTTTTGATGGAAACCTTTGTAGTTGTTGAAATTTATCCCTCTTACAATCTTCTGATGGGTAGAGGGTGGATCCATAGAGTTCAAGGTGTTCCTTCCACTCTGCATCAGGTAATGAGATTCCTGTGACCGGACGGAACCAAAGTGATTGACATTCATGAAGACCAAGTTGCAGCTAAAGAATGTTACTCTGTAACGCTGAAACATGTCGGAAAGGGGAAAGCTCCCATTCGTTCAGTAAGTCCGAGATAGTAATTACAGGAGCCTCCCTCCAAGCAGAATGGAGAGGAGGAACCAGTAGGCTTGACTGAAGAACCCCTGTTTGATGTGCAGATCGATCAGTTCTGACCGGAACGGACAACCAGAGTAGGGGAATGACTCGTTGAGGAGGAAAAACAGGAATTAGTTGATTTTTTGTCTCAAAACGCAGATGTGTTCGCATGGAGTCACCTAGACATGCCAGGGATTGATCCTTCGGTATCCTGTCACTCCTTGAACGTTAACCCCAATGCAAAACCTGTAAAGCAGAAGCAGCGACGGTTTGTCCCCGAGCGCAACCGAATTATTGCCGAGGAGGTTGACAAGCTGCTTGATGCGGGGTTTGTAAGAGAAGTGTACTACCCCGACTGGCTATCGAATGTGGTCGTTGTGCAGAAGAAAAATGGGAAATGGCGCGTATGCATTGATTTTACCAATTTAAACAAAGCTTGTCCGAATGATAGCTTCCCACTGCCAAAGATTGATCAGATGGTGGATGCAACTACTGGATATGAACGCTTGACCTTTTTAGATGCTTATTCAGGTTATAATCAGATCCCCATGGACCCCGCTGATGAAGAAAAAACTTCTTTCGTTACCGAACACGGGACGTATTGCTACAAAGTTATGCTATTCGGACTGAAGAACACCGGAGCAACTTACCAAAGACTTATTAGCAAGATTTTTAAAGAACAAATAGGGAAGACAGTGGAGGCTTACATTGATGATATAGTGGTCAAAAGTAAGAAGAAAGCTGATCATGTGCAGCATCTTCGAGACGTGTTTGATGTGTTGTGGCGATATGGAATAAAGCTCAATCTGACCAAGTGCTCGTTCGGTGTAAGTTCAGGCCAATTCCTAGGGCACGTGGTTAATCTCAGAGGCATCGAGGCAAGCCCTGCCCAAGCAGATGCTCTGACTAAGAATGTCGAGCCGACGACAATCAAAGAAGTGCAAACACTTATGGGACAGATTGCTGCACTGAGCTGTTTCATTTCCAAATTATCAGATCGATGCAAACCAATTTTTGACACAATACGGAACCACGGCAGGCAGGTTTGGGGATATGAACAACGCCTAGCGTTAACTGCTCTGAAAAAATATATGCAGAACCTTCCGATACTGTCAGCTCCAGAATCAGGCGAAAAGCAGTTTTTATATCTTGGAGTATCCAGCATCACGACAAGTGGCGTTCTGATCCGCTACGCAGAAGGGAAGCAATATCCAGTGTTCTATGTTAGCAAGACAATGACTGAGGCCGAAAGACGTTATTCAAAGGCAGAGCGGGTGATACTCCCGCTAGTGCATGCGAAAAGAAAGCTCAGGCATTATTTTGAATCCCATCCTATCATCGTTCTAACCACTTTCTCTATCAGAATAATCCTGCACAAACTAGATCTCTCCGAAAGAATGACGAAGTGGGCTATAGAGTTAAGCTCATTTGATATCACATACGAACCTAGAACAGCAGTCAAAGGGCAAGCGGTGGCAGATTTTTTACTAGAATGTGATTCAGAGGATGTGGAAGAGGATCTTTGTAGTTGCTTATGGAAACTCTTCATCGATGGATCCTCAAATCAGATGGGTGTAGGTATTGGGATCAAACTGCAGACGCCAGAAGGTACAGCCTTAAGCCAAGCGCTTCAGCTTGAATTCGCAGCCACGAACAATGAGGAAGAGTATGAAGCGTTGCTGGCATGAATAAAGCTTGCCAAGGAACTTAAGGTCAGGAATTTGAATGTTTTTAGTGACTCACAGTTAATCGTTCGGCAGGTGAGGGGTGAGTATGAAACCAAGGATGAAACGATGGAAGCATATCGTTCTGCTGTTATGCGGGAGGCGAAGAACTTTGAAAAAATTGAATTCATTCATATTCCGAGGGAGTATAACGAAGATGCCGATAGGCTAGCATGTAGTGCCTCGGGTTCTGGAGAAACATTGGCAAGGGTGATTCCAGTGGGAATATTAAACCGGCCATCCATTTTCGAAGAACCTTCAGGCTCGGATCCTTGGCAAGTGAATGTTATTCCATATGAGCCAAGTTGGATTGATCCGATCATAACTTACATCCGAGATGGTACTCTGCCTGAACAAAGAGATGAGGCTAGGAAAATCAAAGCGAATGCTGCAAAGTACGCCGTAGTGCATAACCAGTTATATAGAAGATCTTTTTCCGGACCGTATTTAAAGTGTGTTACCCCCACAGAGGCTTGGCAAATATTACGAGTTATTCATGAAGGCGTATGTGGAAACCACTTAGGGGGGAGATCATTAGCACACAAAGCAATGGCTCAAGGGTACTTCTGGCCAAACATGTCACGAGATTCAGAAGAATTCTCCAGAAGGTGTGATAAGTGCCAAAGGTTCGGACCACTGATTCACCAACCGCCTGAAGACTTGCATGTAATGGCCACACCATGGCCTTTCGCACAATGGGGGATGGATGTAGTTGGTCCTCTACCAACTGCCAGAGCTCAGAACAAGTATGTGTTACTGGCTACAGACTACTTTACTAAGTGGGTGGAAGCAGAGCCATATCCGAGCGTTACTCAAACTCATGTGAGACGATTCATTTGGAGTAATATTATTTGCTGGTTTGGTGTTCCGAGGTCAATCGTCATGGATAATAGTACCAACGTTGACAGTAAGCAAGTAAGAGAGCTGTTGGAGGAATATGGAATTAATCAAAAGCTGGCAGCAGTAAGTCACCCACAGGCCAATGGACAAGCGGAAATTACAAATAGAACAATCTTTACTTGTATCAAGAAGAAAGTAGAGGAAAGGAAAGGAAGGTGGTTAGATGAACTGTCGAATGTCCTATGGGCCTACAGAACGACCCCTCGACAACCGATCGGAGAAGGCCCATTCACCATGGCGTATGGAACCGAGGCAGTTATACCAGTCGAACACTTAGTTCCGACTGTTCGAAGCTTGGCATGGAACCGTGAGCATAATGACAGTATGCTAAGGTTTAACCTCGATTTGCTGGAAGAAAAAAGAGATGCAGCAGTGGTAAGGCTCACATCTTACCAGCAGACGCTTGCGAACAGCCATAACAGGAAAGTAAAGCACAGAGACTTTAGGCCAGGTGACCTGGTTCTGAAAAAGAAGGTGGGGATAGTTAAAAAGATGATGCCAGCATGGGAAGGCCCATACAGAATTGCAGAGGCCATAGGAAAAGGGGCATATACCTTAGAAACCATAGCCGGAAGGCTGGTTAACAAGCCTTGGAATGCTACTTCTCTGAAGAGGTATTATCAATAAAAAGTTGAGATTCAATACTGAATTTTGTTTATTTTAAATTGAAAACAGTTGAATGTATAAGTTTCTAAGATTTATAAAGATTGCACTCCTCTTTAAAAGGTTAAGCAAAGTAAGTGGCAGCTGGCACTATGAGCCGAACGCCAAACACTTGCTAAGAAAAATAAAAGGCCAAGTGGCAAGTGGCATTCCAGCCGAGTGCCAGGCACCTAAGCAAAGTTAGTGGCAGCTGGCGCTATGAGCCGAACGCCAAACACTTGCTAAGAAAAATAAAAGGCCAAGTGGCAAGTGGCATTCCAGCCGAGTGCCAGGCACCTAAGCAAAGTAAGTGGCAGCTGGCACTATGAGCCGAACGCCAAACACTTGCTAAGAAAAATTAAAGGCCAAGTGGCAAGTGGCATTCCAGCCGAGCGCCAGGCGCCTGGGCAAAGTAAGTGGTAGCTGGCACTATGAGCTGAACGCCAAACACTTGCTAAGAAAAATAGAGGGCCAAGTGGCAAGTGGCATTCTAGCCGAACGCCAGGCGCCTGAGCAAAGTAAGTGGCAGTTGGCACTATGAGCCAAACGCCAAACACTTCCTAAAAAAAAAAAAAAAAAAAAAAAAAGAAGGAAGTTTACATAAAAAGTTTGATCAAAAGTCGGCCATCTCATTAATAAGGTTCAGAGGGTTACAAAAAAAATGAGGTGTAAAGATGGCGAATATACCAAAGTCGGTACATTTAAAAAAAAAAAAAAAAAAGAAGTTCTAACTAAGAGGCGTTTGCCTCGTCGGCCTCTTGATGATGTTGGGTTGCCTCCTCATTATTGGTGGTGTCGCTGTCCTCACGAGGTGGAGAGTCGAGGTGAATGACAGAATCGTTCTGTTGAGTCCTACCCTCAACAGCATTGGAAGAATCATTCTACTGAGGGTTATCTTCAGTAGTAACAGCAGATGGAGTCAAGGTGGACAGAGGAAGAATGTCCAAAGTCAGAGCAGCAGGAGGAGTAGGAGTGATCTGAGAAGACGCAATCTCCTGACATTCATCAAATATGCCCTCGGCAACGGTGGAGTCTGGATCGGTATAAACACCAGGAGGGTCAATATCCAGTTCTTTATCAACATTATCAGGGGTAGAACCAGTCTGACCCTTATCCAGAATGCGATCGGCGTAACCCTCTCGGAACCCCTGAGCATATCTGAGGGCTCCAACTCTCGAAAATCGAGTATGTAGAGCTAGCATACCACCGTTTACCCTGCTGATGGTATCAAGTAAAGCGTTGCGCTCGTCCAAGGCCCTTTTCTCAAAGGCCATCCGAGCGGATTGCTCATCACTCAGAAGGCGTAGCAGTTCTTCCTTCTCAGCCTTAAGGGATTCTCGCTTGGTGTGCCAGACGCTCTTTTCAAGCTGCAGAGCATTCCTCTCATCCTGAAGAGAGTCAGTCTCCTTCCTCAGCGAATCCCTCTCTTTTTCAATTTTACCAAGCTGAACCATCAACCCGGTCTTCTGAGCAGCCAAATCATCATTCTCCTTGTTCGCTGCATTAAGGCTGTCAGAAAGCGCGCAGACCTTGGCATTCACATACTCAACTTGTTTCTACATAGCCATCATCCCGTACAAGGTCTGTAGAGATATACAGGACAACTGGTTAAGCCGAGCAGATGGTTAGAAGAAAATAAGTGTAAAGAGTGTGTAAAGATTTATTGACTAAGGGGCAGAAGTTACCTCCATGGCGGACAAGGGAAATCGGCTGAACATCTCCCTCTGAGACAGACCTTTGGCTACCTCGATGTCCTTGGGAGTCCACATATTCCTGTAGTAAGCCAGTGCGGTCTGACCATCTTTGACCAT